CTGGGTTCGATTCCCAGCATCCCATATGGTCCCCTGAGCACTGCCAGGGGTAATTCCTGAGTGCAGAGCCAGGAGTAACCCCTGTGCACTGCTAGGTATGACCTAAAAAGCAAAAAAAAAAAAAAAAAAAAAATTAATTGAAAAAATAAAAACATGAACAATGTTACCTAATTCTTTTGAAGTCAGAGAGCTATGTGAAAGCCTGAGATTTCAACCAGAAACTCATTTTGTTCTGTATTTCAGCAAGTTCAGGAACTTCAGAGGGCCAGAAAGAAAACTTGAGGAAGTGGAGTCTATACCTTGCATGCGCAAGGCCCTACATGGCCCCCAAAACACCAAGTAGTGGTGGCCCCAGTCCTCATGGCTCCTGGGCATTGCTGAGGAAGTTCCCGCCACCACCCCCCCCCCGCAAAAAAAAAAAATCTAAAGATCATTCGGGCTGGAGCAATAGCATAGCGGTAGGGCGTTTGCCTTGCACGCAGCCAACATGGCCGACCCGAGTTCGATTCCTCCGCCCCTCTCGGAGAGCCCGGCAAGCTACCGAGAGTATCTCGCCCGCATGGCAGAGCCTGGCAAGCTACCCGTGGCGTATTCGATATGCCAAACACAGTAACAACAAAGTCTCCAATGGAGACGTTACTGGGCCCGCTCGAGCAAATCGATGAACAACGGGAGGGCCTTTACCTTTTAAAGATCATTCACTAATAGGAGGTTAGAAGTAGAAAGTTACAGCCAGAGAAATTGTACAGCTAGTAGGGTGTTTGCCTTGCACATGGCTGACCTGGATTCAATCCCCAGCACCCATTATGGTCCTCCCTGAGCTAGCAAGGCGTGATCATGAGCACAGAGCCAGGAGTAATTACTAAGCACTGCTGAGTGTGGCCCAAACACAAAACAAACAAAAAAAAATGAGTAAAATTTTGTATTTTCTGCTTTTAGGAATAATATATGTGCTTCATTAACTCATTTATAATTTTTATGAGCTAAGAATTAGATTTTTTTACCAATCCTAATCTAATTTCAAAAGCAGAGGGAAAAAAAGCTTCAAAGTTTTGAAATACAAGTGTTTTCCTTTTTCAAGTGAAATATTCTTAAGCAAACATTATCTACATTTTTTTTTCGACCTGGCTGACCTGAGTTCGATTCCTCTGCCCCTCTCAGAGAGCCCAGCAAACTACCGAGAGTATCTCGCCTGCACGGCAAAGCCTGGCAAGCTACCCATGATGTATTTGATATGCCAACACAGTAACAACAAGTCTCACAATGGAGACGTTACTGGGCCCGCTCGAGCAAATCGATGAACAACAGAAGGACAGTGCCACAGTGTTTCTGGTTTTTGGGTCATACCCGACGATGCTCAGGGGTTACTCCTAGCTGTGTATTCAGGAATTACTCCTGGCAGTGCTCGGGGGACCATATGGGATGCTGGGAATCAAACTCGGGTCAGACACATGCAAGGCAAATGCCCTACCCACTCTGCTATCACTCCAGCCCTATCTACATTATTTTGGTTTGGGACTTCATCCGGCTTTTCTCAGGACTTAACTCCTGGCTCTGTGCTCAGGGATCACTACTGGCAGTGCTGGGGGATTAGACGGGGTGCTAAGGATTAACCTGCATTTGTCACATGCAAGGCAAGTGCCATACCCAGTGAGCTCTCATTCCAGCCCATGCTTTGTTAACTAGTCAAAATCCATATCTGATCTCCACTTCTCTGGCAACTTAAATTCCTAATTCCAGATGGCCTCACTCGAACGCCATCACTCAGCTCGTGGGAACTTCATAAAGCTTTAAAAAAAGAATCTTTTGAGATGATCTATAGCAAATGATCACAGAGAAAACATCTAAACAGACAGATACATTCTAAAAGCAGGTGTCAGACCAAATTAATAACAAAAAATACTAACAGTTCTTAAAACCGCTAAATGGTTTTGGTGTTTTTTTCTTTTCTTTCTTTTTTTTAATTTGACTGTGTTTTGTTTTGTTTTGGTTTTGCACCACATCCAGCTCTAATGGTACTCAGAGCTTATTCATAACTCTGCACTTGGGTATCACTCCTGGTAGGGCTCAAGGGATTTTACAGGGATGCTGGAGACCTAGTTTGGGTCAGCCACGTGCAAGGCAAACGCTCTCCCAAAGTACTCTCTGGCCCCAGTTCAATGTATTCTAAATAAATTTTAATAGTTCTAAAGATGGAATTTTGATTAAGTATCACATTACATTCTGTATACTTTATAATCTAATGACTCCTGAGATCTAATGACCCAACAGTCCATTGACACTTATCAGCTAATTCGATTTAGAGCTTAACAGACAAAATGTATACACATTCCCCAATATCTACCACTGATAAATAACTAATAGCATATTTTATTTATCTGATATAATCTATGACATAAATTATAGTATATTTCATACATTGTGCTAGAGTTTTATGGAAAAATAATTTATTGTAGTGCTCAGATAAATAGTACAGAGGTTAAGATGCTTCCCTTGCATGATGCTGAGTCAAGTTCAATTTCCAGTATTGTGGTTCCCTGAAAGCCAGAAAAGCCCCCATCACTAACATAGAGTCAGGGCCACCACTACCACAAGCACTGTCAGGTGTAGCCCAAACCCTCCACCTCCAAAAAAAGTTAATGTAGTACCAGTCCTGAATTGAAAGAACTTAGTACAACATTTTACTGTAACAGCCTTCTAAATAGATTGTGCTACATGTATGTCTTATATAAATCCAAACTACTATTGATAAGTAACAAATAATCTGACCTTATTTACGGTAATAAAAATAAATTTATTTGTTTAAGAAGGGGAGTGTTTGGGACCATATCTTGTAGTGGTCCTGGTAATACTTGAGGGATCATCTGCTAGGGACTGAACAGAGGTAGGCCAGATGCAAGGGAAGTACCTTACCCCCCATACTATCTCTCCAGCACCTAGTAATAACTTTTTTTAAATCCCTTATTGCCTAGATTTTCAAAATTTTTGTACAACTACCTCTACAGGTCTGAGAAAAGACCCAGACTCTCTTAGAAGTCTGGGGATAGATGTTGGAACTCACGTAACAAGGAAAATCTTTATCACTCATACCAGTATTACGGGCTGGAGAGATAGCACAGCAGGTAGGGCGTTTCCTCGCATGCGGCTGACACAGGTTCAATTCCTCCATCCCTCTCAGCAAGCTACCAAGAGTATCCCAGCCGCACGGCACAGCCTGGCAAGCTCCCTATGGTGTATTTGATGTGCCAAAAACAGTAACAACAAGTCTCACAATGGAGATGTTACTGGTGCCCGCTGGAGCAAATAGATGAACAATAGTGCTACAGTGCTACCAGTATTACATTCACTCGTTAAGTGTTTTGACTTAATATACAAAAGCCTGCCTTTAATCCCCTAGGATCGAGTGAGCTGACGCTCTGATAAGATGCACCTTGTCATTTTCTGTGTCTGCGCATGCTCATAAACTACCAGCTCTAAAAATACCTCCAGGACTGAGAGTCACGAGCCTGCAGCATTGTCAAAGCCTAGCACAGAAGGTCCCAGCTCTACCCCACTCCAACAACTCCAACAGCAACAAAGCAATGCCACAACCACACCAAAAAAGTATATATAACACCACCTGCCACGGCTCAGCGCGCGCACACACACACACACACACACACACACCCCACTTGATGTTTTATGCTGCTGCCTTTTCCTTTCCCAGATTTCTTCCTACTTGTCCAAACACCCGGAAGCTCCACTAGCCTCGTCAGATTTTATTAATAGCCTCTCCTATGATGCTGCGCTGAGCACCCAAACATATTTAACCACGCTTTCTTGGGTGTCTTTTGTACCCTCTATCACTTCATTTACAGTGCGTCAATGCAAAGCGTTACATTTATTTCTTCATTTTCTAATCTCTAACTAAGGGAATAGCTTCCTATGGCAAAAAACCAATAATGCTTAGCAATGATAGTTCTCAATAATATTTGTAAAATAAATGAGTAGACAGACAAAAAGTACTCTGAATTTTTCAAATTGGAGAGACAGTATAGCACATGCGGGTGTGGGCACTGCCTTGCAGGCGGTTGACTCAGATTCTATCCACAGCACCCCATATGGCTTCCTGGGCCTGCCCAGGATTAAGTGATCCTTGAGTGTAGAGCCAGGGGTAAGCCCTAAACACGGTCAGAACTAGGTGTGGTCAAAAAAAAACAACAAAAAAAAAACTTTGTCTTTGCCTAAGTTCCTCTCTGGTTTAATTTTCTTCATAGCATTTCACCTCATAGCCCGCTATAATTTTATTCTATTAGCTTTTCATAATTTATTCATCGATTTAGTACATAAAATGGCATAGGTACTCAATATTTACTGAACAAATGAAATATACTTAGTTATGAAAAAGCCCAGTCGACTGAGGCTAATTAAAAAGATAAAACTTCAGGACTGGAAAGACAGTACAGCGGTCTGCACTTGCCTTGTAAGTAGCCCTGTGCTGGTTCCCAGCCATACATGTCACCTGAGCACTACTAGGGGAGATCCCTCAGCACAGAGTCAGGAGTAAACCCCAAGTACAGTTGGGTATGGCTCCCCAACTGAAATAAGTTAGAAAAAACTCGATGTCCTTATCCAGCTATTAACCAAGATAACGATTCTTCACATGCAATTAACAACAGCAAAAACAAAATACCAGCACCTTTGATAATGACAACGAATAGCACTGATTTTATAAACTTTTAAGGGCAAGATAAGGTTTACTAAAATTAAAAATGTGGATGGTCATAGGTTTTTCCGATCTTATTTTGTTTTCTTGATTTCAGTCCATACCTAGTAATCACACCTGGCTATTTCTGACTCTGCTCAGAAGACCATGTGGTGCCAGGGATCAAACCTGGGCCTGTTGCATACAAAGCATGCGCCCAGTCTCTGACTATCTCTCTGGCCCTTTTCTAATTTTAAATAAGATATATATATATATACGGAGTACTACTTTTCCAAAAATATATAAATATTTTTACCCATCCTTGGTTTGATCAGCTACTCCTGCCAAGAGCTGCACAATCTTGGGGTTGCTGTTCGGATCATTATATAGTCCAAGGTAGCGCTGGACAAAGTCCTCCGGGGTCATGTAATGTTCTCCATCAACCTCAGTACTGGCATACTGAAAAAAAAAAATGCATGTTTAAAAATTTAAGTTATTCCATACCATTTTGTAATCAAATGTTTTATGAAAAGAATAAAGGCTGATTTAAAAAAAATCAAGTTGATAACAAATACACAATTCTCAATACAGTACAAAAAACCTTAGAGATTGATTTAAGAACACTAGTGCAGGGGCTGGAGCATATACCACAGAGGGGAGGGCATTTGCCTTGTACGCGGCTGACCTGAGTTTGAGCCCCTGCACTGTGTATGGTACCGCCAGGAGTAATTCTGAGTGCAGAGCCAGGAGTAACCCCTATAACCCAAAAAGCCAATACACACACACACACACACACACACACACACACACACATACACCTAAAACAGTACTAACTTACACATGAACATGAGACTTGAAAATATGTTACAGAGACCACACACAAAAGGCCACAAACTTCATTGTTCCATTTATGAAATGTTCCACAATGGGTAAATCCATAATAACAGAAAGAAAGAGTAATTGCCAGGAGCTAGGAGGAGCAGGAAATACAGAAGAACTCTTTCTTTTTTTTGGGGGGGGGGGGGATGGTGGAGGTGGTCACACCCTGCAATGCACAGGGGTTACTCCTGGCTCTGCACTCAGGAATTACCCCTGGCGATGCTCAGGGGACCATAGGGGATGCTGGGGACCAAACCTGGGGCAATACCCAGCAGTGGGGGGAGGCCCAAAATCTTCTGGTAAAGCAAACCTGGGGCACCAGGGTTAAAACAGGTGGTGCTGACAGGAAAATGTGATACCAGAGATCTTGTGGCAAAAAAAAAAAAAAACCCTGGAAACTGCCCTAAGAATGGAGCCAGGAATAGACATGAGCACCGCTGGGTATGACCACAAAACAAAACACCACCACGAACACAACTATTTATAAAACCTAATTTTCTAATTTTCTGTAAATAATTTTAAAATAAAATAATCATGATGGGGGCCAGAAAGAGAGTACAGTGGGTAGGGCACTTGCCTTGCAAGTAATCAACCTAGGTCTGATCCCCAGCATCCCATATTGTCCCTCAAGTCCCACCAAAAGTGATCCCTAAGTGCACAGCTAGGAATAAATCCTGAGCACTACTGAGTGTGGCCCCGAAACAAAACCCAAACAAGAAAAATTGTTAATAAGAACTAAACACAAAACACCAAATTAGAATATATGAGATGGTTTATGGTGTATTTGTTGTCTCTTCACAAGTGTTTAAGCTTTGCTTTCTCAAATTAGCAGGTGACAACTTTCAAAACAGGGCAAACAATATGAAAACATTTCCAAGTTAGTATAAACAAAAATGTGGCAATTATCCATCCTATTTTGCCACAGAGTTATCTGATCTGTAATGCAGAATGTAACTGCCAAGGCTACCACCACCCTCAAAGCACGTGGGAGCACACACATGCACAGATGCAGTGAAAGTTTACTGCATTGATTGAATCACCAAGATTTCAAAACATTCTTGGCTTTACAGTAATCAAAAAATGAAGCAGCCTTAACACAAATCACCAAGGCCACAGCAGCCAATCAGGAAAACAAATGTTCTTGTTGACAAGAACTGGAAACAGGCCTTGCCACTATCCACGGTTTTATAAATGATGTCAGGGAATCACTTACCCTGAGGTACCTTACGAGTGTTTTCCCCAACTCTCCTTAGTCTAATTTAACTTGATTTTAACAGAAAGATAAAGTGTACATAGCTCAGAGGGGAAAAAAAAAAACACAAGTCTTCTCAACCACAAGAATCAGTAACTCGACTTTAGTGGGAGACAGTTAACTAATTAACTCATTAGAGACAATTACTTGGCAGGACCAGTGGGTCTGTTAACTAAACACAGACAAGTCAAAAGAGTTTAGAACTGACATTACAATCAACCCACAGTCAGTCAAGATGCTAAAACATTTTAGTAATTACTGTAGCACTGCAGCACTGTCCTCCAGTTGTTCATCGATTTGCTCGAGCGGGCCTAGTAATATCTCCATCATGAGATTTGTTGTTACTGTGTTTGGCATATCGAATACATTTTAGGTTAACAGAGAAAAGGAGGTATCTCAAACATTTGAGATATATTTTTAAGTGTTTATTATATTAATTTATTCCTCCGCCCCTCTCGAAGAGTCTGGCAAGCTACCGAGAGTATCTCGCCCGCATGGCAAAGCCTGGCAAGCTCCCCGTGACGTATTCAATATGCCAAACACAGTAACAATTGTCACAATGGAGACGTTACTGGGCCTGCTCGAGCAAATCGATGAACAACGTGAGGACAGTGACAGTGATTATATTAATTAGTAATATATAGGATTTATCTCTTTCATGCAAATTTTAAATGTACTAGCATAGAGCTATTCATACTTTTAAAGATGTACAGAACTGCAAACAAGAAAAGATAATAGTTTTTGGAAAATGTTTTTTTTTAATCAACTTAATCACTGATTTACAATTTTGTAAGCTTTCAGGAATTTAGCTTTACTCATTTGTGTATGTGTTGGTGTAACTACCTCCACAGTTCTAAAAAAGTGCAGGAACTAAAGCAATAAACAGCATGTAGGGCACTTGCCTTGCATGCAGCTGACGCAAGTTCGATCCCCGCCACACTGTATGGTTCCCCGTGCACTGCCAAGTACTGATTCCTGAGTCAGAAGTAACCCCTGAGCATTGCCGGGTATGATAGCCTCCACCACCCCCGCAAAAAAAAAAAAAAATCTCTCATATATAGGATATAAAGAAACAGTAAGGGAACAACAAATGGTCAAAGGAGACTGTCTTACAGAACTTTTATATATATATAAAAATATATAATTACAAATATTATCATTAATAATCATAATTATTAATTATAAATAATTACATAACTAATATAATAAACACTTTTAAAAGGGTGGCTGGGAGGGGCCCTTGGGACATTGGCGGAGGGAATCAAACACTCTGGTAATGGGTGCGGTGTTGGAATGATGTGTGTATGAGACATATAATTAACAGGATCTCAATAATGATGGCAAAATAATAAATATATCATAATGAATTTGGAACAGGGGTTCCAAATGGAGCTCAGGACATCCAGTTCCCACCCACCTCCCCACAGGTAATTCTCAACCAATCAGGCCAGAGGTTCAGTGCAAGGGCTGGAGGATGCAATACTGCCAGGCTCTGCTGTGCCAGGGATATCTGGGCCACCTGGCTGTGCTCAGGACTCCAGGGGTACAACTGGTGGGATTTGGGGGACCATGTGGTATATGCACTTCCACTGCTGTATTATCTGCCAGATCCCCAAAAGCATTTATAAAATACTACTGAAATAAGGATGAGGAGCTAGAGAGACAGTACAGGGGTTAAAGCGCTTGCATGTGGCTGACCAGAGTGTGATCCCCCGCAACCTCTATGGTTCCCCAAACACCACCAGGAGTGATCCCTGAGCTAGAGATAGGAATAAGCCATGAGCACAGCCTGGCATGGTCCCAAAAGAAAAAATAAATAAAACAAGAAAGGCCCATTTTAAATAATTTAATTACTTTTAATGTTCTTATTTTAGTCAACTGGACAATATTCTAAACAGATACAAAAAAGTAAACACTGTCTATAAATAACACAGTCTACAAATTTTAGGGCTAAAAATAAAAGAGGTAGGTTGTGTTTCTGAAATCACCTTTTACTAATCCAAATTATTTGAGTGCTAATACTAACATGATACAAAGTAATAGAAAAATAATTTGAGGAGCCTCCCAGACTAATAATTGTCTTAAAAACTTAGTCAAGTAACTTTAATATATCAAGTAGTTTCATACCATTGCCATTTTACACCTTTATCATTTCCAAGTAAACTAAATGAAATGAACCAGACATTATATCCATCCTCCAAATAACTTAAGAGTCAAACATTTGCCATTTCAAAGTTGTCTCTTAGGCAGTTGTAAATCCTTCTTGGGCAAAAAGTCAAGGACACAGGAAAGACTTAGACAAGACGTAGCTGACAGTATGTGAACAAAAATAGCTGGTCTATTTTCTTGATTTAACTTATCCTAAGCTCAACTCAAGTGGTTTCAATATGAAAGTACACATTGCCTTCCAGAACTCTTAAAATCTTTTCCAGAAATATTTCAATGCACATTAAGTAGATTCCTAAATGTCTGAAACAGTCAAAGCTTAAGAAATAAAATGGGGGACAGAAAGAGAGGACAGCAGGCAGAGTGTTTGCCTGGCACAGAACCAACACTATCCAATCCCTGGCACCAAATATGGTCCCCTGAGTCCAACCAGGAGTGATCCCTGAGCACACAGCCAGGAGTAATCCCTGAGTACAGCCAAGAGAGGCCAAAAACAAAGAAAAAGAACATTAATCGTATGGGAAATTAGAATCTTTATATATTTAGTCAAAATTATTGTTTGATAAAAAGATGCATAATTTCTCATACAGACTTAAGGTGTAGATACACCTCTAATTTCAAATAAGATCATGTTATCTAGAAATGATTTGCCCATCTAGCCAACAGATCAGCATATCAAGACCTCACTTGACTGGAATAAATTGGATAGTAGCAACTCCTTTGCAATAAACCAACTTTAACCCTAAGTGAACTTTAAAACATATACAACCCACAGCACAGTTTTACTTTACTTTAAAGAAGTAAACTTTACAAAGAGTTTACATACAACCCTAAACTCCATGAGTAAGGGGGAAAAGATTATTTTAAAATTTAATGCTGAAAATTAGTAAAAGATTCAAACCATCTAAATAATATAAATTACTTGTTTTAATGGTTCAAGTTCAGAAGTAGACTCTTCAATGTTTTGTATTGCAAAATATATTTTTCAGAGATTATAAAAGAAGAAATCTGATCAAAAAGGCTTTCTGAAAATTTATACAGTATAACAAGAACCAAGAATTTTCTAAGTATGTACTCCAAAACCAGGTAGTTTATCTTGAAGTACTGCTTTTTAAGCCAAAAATAGGTAGAAATCAAATATTTTAGATCATTTTACACTCTT